CTACTTCTGCTAGAGCTGCTTTCATATCCTGTCGATTCTGATATTCCCATTAAATCTAACTTCCACAAATGACTATGAATTTTGAGTAAGTAATTTGCTTCACTGGAGGAAACGATTTGACATCATCATAATCTTGTTTCTCGTCTGCTTCATCCATTAACAGGGTGTTGGCACAAACTCAAAGTAAAGAGGCCATGGGATAGAGTCTCCAGAGCCGTACGGCCGTATTTTGTCGATATTGTTAGTAGAGAAAAATGAGCGTAATGCGTATCAAGTCTCTGAAAAGTATACAATACTTTTTAATATAGAAAGCTGTTTCATGATAATGATATTTGTGAGGGAATTGTCGGTATAGGTAAAGTCCATTCCAAAATAATTCGTTGACTCTTCAAGTATCAATAAAATGTTGATGATACCCTCAACCACAAACTTCGACTACCTGTGAGCAGGTCCGGGTTGATTTTATTTATTATACCTGCCTAGGTGAGATGTACATGTAAATGTGGGTGAATGTTTTAGTTAAATTATTTAGTCTTTGTGCAGAACTAGAGCTGTTATATTGACAAAAAAAATGTGGCGTCCATGGGCAAATGATGGTAGTATTGCAACCGGAAGTGGTATTTCAAAAAAAAAACATTTATCGCTAGATGCCAAGGAAATTGTGAGGAACGTTTATTTAACCCTTCTGCAGAGAGGCTATAATCATAATCAAAGTGTGAGTGAATCATCCGTTTTAACCAAAACTCCATTATCTACGGTTAAAGATATCGTAGCCAAACGCATCCAGCCAAGGAAGCAACGGTGTGACAGCGGCAAGTCAAGAAAGGTTGAAGAAGCGGATAAAGAGTTGATTCGTAGGAAAATTTATGATTTGTACAGTAAACAAATAATACCTACAATAGATTCTCTAAAAAAGGTACTTATAGAAGACGAAACTGATATATTATGTAGCAGAACAAGCCTTTGGAGAATTGTGAAAGCAATGGGTTTCAAATATCAAACCATTAATAAGAGGCAAGTGCTGATGGAATCCCAGCGATTACAAGCATGGCGTCGAGAATATTTAAGTTCCATAAAACAATATAGGGCAGAAAATCGTCCGATAATATATCTTGACGAAACATGGTTTGATACCCATGACACTCCCAAAAGAGGATGGAGAGACTCAACCTCCAAATGTCAAACCAAAGCACCCTCAAATAAAGGCCAGAGGATTACAATTTCGCATGCCGGATCAGAAAATGGTTTTGTTCCAAACTCTTTGCTGCTATCCGCAAAAAAAATAGCCAATTCATCATTAGATTATCATCAAGATACCGATGCAAAATTATTTGAAGAATGGTTTCAGAATCGCCTTCTTCCGAACATACCAGAAAACAGTATAATTGTGATGGACAACGCTAGTTACCACAGCCGTCAAAAAAATAAAGTGCCCAATGCAAGTAATACAAAAGTAGAACTTCAAAAATATATGATGGAAAATGATATGTATTTCGAAGAAAATTATACAAAGAAAGATCTTTTAAACGTTTTGAAATCATATAATGTTAAAAAAGAATATATTTGTGACGATCTTGCTAGCGCTTGTGGTCATACAGTTTTGCGTCTTCCTCCATATTATTGTATTTTCAATCCAATAGAACATATCTGGCATGAATTGAAGGCAATGGTTAGGAGAGGAAACACCTCTCCTACACTTAGTACTGCTGTAATAGATTTAATTAGAAAATGTGTAGATAATATTCCAGTTCAAAGCTGGAAAAATTCTGTCAATCACGTTATAAAAGTTGAAGAAACCTATAATTCAATAGGTATTAATGTTAAGCCATTAATAATTAGTTTAGGCATAGATGAAGATGACAGTGGCAGTGAAACGTAACTAAATATAGATTAGGTTTGGTTGAATTGTGTATTGTATTATATTGTATTAGATATTAAGTTTTGGTAATTATTAAGATAGTATAAGATTAACACATAAATAAATAATATTATGAAACGCCTTTTTCGTTTTCATTATAATGGGCACAAAATCCGTACCTGTAAACCTTTGAGTGAGTATTAAGGAACCCGGTACCTACATAAAAGAACCTGGTACCTACACAATAGAGGCTAATAGCTATCTAATTTATGGTAGGGTTTTATAGCCGTGAAGTCAACGAAATATTTTGGAATGGACTTTACTCGAAATGATCAAGATATTTACCAGAAGCCCGATCCTCGGGCCAGGGAGAAGAGCTCCCCGATAGAACGAATGTTTTGTCTTTGTCAACGTAATCGAAAAGTAAATGAGAATGATAAAGACGAAAAATTTGTTCTCTCGAGGAGCTCTATTCCCTGGCTTGAGGATCGGCCCCCAGGTGGAGAAGAAATCAGGAAGATCTCTAACTTCTAGACAAACAGCTGGAATGACAGAGCTCCAGAAAATTTGCTTTTGAGCAGAATAAGTGCTGTAGAGCAACAAAATATTTTCAGAACGGTTTAGAAATTCAGATGGACCGATGAAAATATCTAGACTCAAGCCACTTTTGAACCAAAACTGAAAATTTTTATTTAATCGGCTGCTACTAGGTGGAAATTCATTATCTAGTAAAAGATTTTTTAAGTAAATCACTATACTTATTTATTCCCACTAATTTGTGTTAAACTTTAACATGTTTCGCTACACTGTAGCTTCATCAGAAAGATTTCAAGAATTATATGTAGACATCATAACTTGAAATCTTTCTGATGAAGCTACAGTGTAGCGAAACATGTTAAAGTTTAACACAAATTAGTGGGAATAAATAAGTAAGTATAGTAATTTACTTAAAAAATCTTTCACTAAAACTGAAAATCTTTATTAACCTTGAGATTGTAGCTACCCAGAACCACATTTTGCCATTAAAGAATTCGACAGTTTAAAAATCAAGACACTTGTTACAAGAAACAATATTTATTTACAAATTAAGTACAACATTTATAAAATTTCGATTTATTGCAGTTTTTATAGATATGTACTAATATTAAAAATCTCACTTAGTTTGTCTTTAACCTAGGTATTCCAAAAAAGCTTTTAGTAACCTAAATTTTGGTTCTTTATTGTTCTAGAGGAAATTACGAACTTATCTTTCATTCGAGAGTCAGTAAAAAAATATAGATTTTGACTAGTTTAATTTAAGCTTTCAAGAGTAACAAATCCTCTTTTATGAAATTTAAATACTAATATGGAATTTCAAAAATCTAAACCCGTACGTAAATTTTTTATTCGCTTTTTGAAATTAAATCAACATTTTCCGATATTACTTTATAAGTTTCTTCCATTACTTCATTGAGTTCTTTGCCTTTGGTTGAAATTTGTGGTAGAATTTTTATTCTAATTTCACCTATAAATTAATTTATTTCATTTATATGATTTAGTTGTTAATTAAGTTTACTCTTATTACCGCTTTCAAAACTCAGATGCTTCAAGAAAGTGAAACGACTAACTGCTACAGGTTGGATAGGAACTTCAGAGGCTAATGCCAAATGGAAAGCACCCTTTTTGAAAGGTAGTAACTTTTTGTTGCCCAAATTCCTGGTGCCTTCTGGGAACATAAGCACACGAGCCTAAATAATGGAAAAATTAGATTACAATGGGTGAAACCTCAATAATAAGTCACCTTTCTTTTTCTGATAATAGCCCCGGTTTTATTCACAGTTTCTTGGGCACTTGCGGAGCCTCTAGAAATAAATATGGTGCCCCACAGCCAAGAGGCTACACCGAAAAACGGCATATACAGTACTTCGATTTTGGATATTACAGTACAATTGTCCATTATTGGCCATAAGCATGCTAATACTGAAACGAAAAAAAAAAATATATTTTTTCAGATTGTAAACAAAATAGGTCAGAGAGTCAAGAATTACGGTTTTATTATAGATCATTTTTAGTTTAGCGGTCGGTTAGAGGTTGATTTATGTAATCAAATTGATTAAATATTAGTGTCAATTTGAACTGGTAATGTAATATAATTTTAATTAAAATCAATCTTCATATTTTTCAATTGTCTCGCGGGAAACTTCTAAGTATCAGAATCCATCCCCTTAAAAGTAAAAGTTTTAGTTTCTTGACGAAAATAATATTGTCGCGGCTTTGGGGTGCGTGACAGAAATCTTGGGTTCGTTGTTCGTTTATTCCAAAATCAAATTCCAATTAACACAGCAATAATTTATTCTACTTAACTATACACTCTGACACTAATTACTTTAATAACTAACTCAACAATTAAACTCTTTAAAACTCGCAAACAATAATCACTATGTAATTCGTATCACAGTCAAACTTAAACTTAAAACTTTCAACCAATAACGGCCTTTTTATATCCCTGAATCTATTAGGTGGAAACGAAGTAGGTACCTACTCAAATATTAATTCTAGTAGAATTTACATGGAATGTTGTTGAAATTGGTATGCCTAAATTTCCGATTTTCACGAAAGTTTAATTTAACACCGAGAGTTTTGGGAAAATCGTTGATTTGAATCAAGTGTTGCGTAGTGTTGATTGAAGTAATTTCAGGGAAAAACCGAATCTGCTTGCAATGTTTTCAAGGATATATTTTGCAGATCAGCTTGATAGTTGATAGTTCTACCAAAAAAACAAATGTGAAAAAGTACCACTTATTAAAAATCAAATTTTGCGATTTTCCCCATGCCTGCGTCGACGTAACATTTTTAAATGGGTCGAAGTAATTTTTTTTTGAAAGATACCTTGAACCAATTGAACCTTCCTCTAGCGGCATACAAAATGTTAATAATTTTAGATTCGCAACACAAATGATCAAAAAAAAATAATAATCGAAGGTAAAAAAGTGCATACTTGTGAAAGGCAAATTTTGCAATTTTTTTGATTGGCTTGCAATTTATTCAAGGATATGTTTCAATAGATCAGCTTTACATTTTTTTTTGATAGGAACTTCCAATAATATAACTATTGTCTTCGTGACTTTTTCGAAAACTTAACCACCAATTTGCATTAACTTACCAACTAAATCTAGACAACTCTGATGATTAATCAACACTACACACCCCGAATCTTGTACAATATTTTCATGCCCCTCGACTTTTAACGATATTCCTAAAACATTGCAGATCATTCTCAAACCTGCCGCAGGAATCCTAAAAAGAATACAAAAATAAACTTAGAAACTTCATTGAATTTTCGTACTTACAAAGCATTTTTCGGATCCTTTGGATTCAGGCACATAAGAGGCATGGGTAAAGTGGCCGCCGCACCAGACATATATACAAAAAAAATCCATTTCATGTAATATCTGGCGACAGAACTTGAATTGTAAATTAAAGTTATGACGACTAGAACAGCCAACAAGTAAACCAACCAGCCCATGATGATTAATTACTAAAAGAAAAATACTATTTAAAGTTTTATAGATTTGCTTTGATGACTTAACGATTGATGGCAAGTTTACTAAACATTATCGATGCTTTCGTTTACGATTTTGAAATGTTGTCGAGATAATGAAATAAAAAGGCATTTACAAAAAATATCTCTTTATATCTTGACTTTTGGATTATACCTTACGTAGGTTCAAAGATCAAACGCAATCTTTTTTATAATTAGGTGTGTGGACTTTATTACTTTGAATCAAGATGAGATGATACTGATCAAGGACCTGATAATCCAATGTACCTATGTGAATCACTATTACTTTTCTGAGTGGTTTTTATAAAGTAATTTTGAAATTTCTAGCAGGAAATATTCACCTTTCTGAATACAGTAGGTACTTGCATCAATTTTTTTTATCGCTGATTTCCTTAGTTTATAAAAAATAAGTCAACACGTATTTTTTCTTTTTCTTCTTAGTCAAAAATTGACGGAGATGCAAATACACGGAAATAGTAGGTACTTTTTAGAAGAAATAATTTATAAAGTTTCCAAATTACCTAAATTAGGTAGTAGGAATAAATCCTCAAAAAGTTCCCACGTGGCCGATGTCCGCAACATCCCTTATTTTGCAAAAAACCACCCCCGGATGGTATATTTTGCCGGTTTTTCTCAATTTCCTCGTAAACTATTGTTCGAACGTAAAAATGCATAGAACCAAAAATGTTTGCCATTAAATTCTACACAAAAACTTTCCTATAAGCATTTTAGTTAACCCTCTCTGAATTTCCGCAAATAATGTTCAAAGTTAAGTCTAGTTTCCAACATGTAAAATGTGGCTTTAATTTTAGTGATTTTCATAGTTCTACTGCTAGGTATAATATCGCTACATAGATATTATCTAAGTCAAAATTTAAAATTTGACAGGGAATTTAGAGCATATATGCTTTTCACTTATTATTGGCGTAGTGGCGTGCCATGCAAATTTGACAGGTTGAGTGTTGACCCTCGTATAATAATGACATTTGATGACAAAATATTTTTCAAATTTCAGGGTTATGAAACAGAAAGCCGAGTTGCCAGAATGTGTAAAATATCTGAGTAAATTCAAGTAAGATTATTTAATTGGAAGAGTTGTGGCGAGCTTTTATCAAACAATGTTCTGAGATTTTTGCGTCACGATATTCTTCTTTTTCCTGGTCCTCTCTATCCAAATATCTTCACAATATAAGTTCCTACATTCTAATTAAATTGAATGGAATTCTTGAAAATTTAAAGAATAGAAAAAAATAAAAACACAAATAAAAAAATCATCACTGCAAACCAAATTACGTCAAATCTAAATTGAAATAAATCATGTCTCTAAATCTCTTTCTTCTATCATTAATGGGAGATGGAAGTGAAGAAGTAATGTCGTAAAAAGGAACCAAAGCTTAATCATCTTTTTAAGAACTGAATCTATTTGATACAACGTGACGTTCTAAGAAGTTCCCTTCATATCAATCAACTCTTCTTATAATTTTCGCTGCCTAATTTCTGACACTACTTTTACCGTAAACTTTGTCGTTATAGAACATGTTTCTGGAAGTTCTTTGTAATCAAAATTTTTCTCGTCGCTGATGAAAATTAATTAATCCTCTGATAAATTATCTTTACATTCAATTCGATCCTCCTCCATATCCCTAATCGCTGTCTTCGTGAGTGTCAGTGGCAATCATGCATCTACCATCTATGGCGCAGGATAGTTTTTTGATGTTGATGGTTGTAGCTCTAGGTTGCCTTTTTGATGTGGATAGTTAGTTGCGGCTCTGAATATGAATAATTATTATAGATGGTGGGAGCCGGTTGATCCATTACGTGAGAGGAGGAAAAGTCTTCTTCTTTGAAGATGTTTCGATAAAATGGCATTATTTCAGTGCATCTGGAACCTGATTTTTTTGTTTATTGGTGCAGCGGTTCTAACCCAAGCGTGTTAACATATCACAAGCAAATCTCAGAGCACCACATCCCGAAACACCTTGCATCATTCTCTTGGCGTCATAGCGTATGCGGGGAAACGGAAATGCTGAAATTGGCGACAACGCTTGTTCCGCTGGAAGAGATTATTCCTACTTGCGTAATCAATTCACCTCTTTCACGAGAAGTGGCTTCTTTCCAAACATTTCAGGAACTCGTTGTACCGTCGTTACACCAGTCTACAAAAAAGAATTTAAAATAACATGAGTGGTTCAAAAAAGATTAAATTTTATCTCATCTAAATTATAAATTTGCATGAGTTCTAGAATTCATTTGAGCATATTCATAATAACTAATCGTCTTGTTCCGTTTGGCTTCAGACCGTAAAATATATAGGAACACTTCAGTGGATATTTCTCTTAAGCGTTTTTCATCTGCATAGAAAATACTTATGATGTTATAAAATTTGGTGTAACATAACATTTTCGAGACCTTTTTCTTGGATTTGTCTGACATAGTTCAACCCGGTTACCAACACTGGATTTCTTTACTCCATTTTTTCCTATCTGGATAGGACATGTTATTGTCAATCACATCAACTAGCTTGTTTCACGGAATCAAGTTAGAACTCCCTGTCAGTCTTTTTCTATGTTCTTATTGTTATGTTCTTACTGAACTGAAATGGAATATAATAATATGTTTCAACCATCATGTTGCCACAAGTTTTTGTTGCTATTTTTCTTTTTGAAGGGAAGCTATGGACAACAAGGTGAGATCCTGTGCAGCCTCTCCCCTTGTGCACTTTATCGGATTAGCTTAAAAATATCAAAACCTCCCATTGGTATTTTCGTTCTGTGAGAACATAGCTTTATCGGTTAACCTTGCTTTCTACTCTGACACAAAAAGTTAAACAAATAACATTAAAATAAACAATAAAATACTTACCTCGCTTCTTTGAAATATTAGATAAACAATCCCAAAAATACAAAATTCACATGAAAAGCTTTTTCAAAAAAAAAAATATTTCACAAAAACAATCTGATCTGTGCCGGTTGACCATTCTGGAGATACTGTTGGCACCTTGGCGTGATAGATCAGAAAGCCGCAAGAGGCGGGAAATATTAGCGTGTTCATTGTCTCCCAGAGTCCCGATCTTATCCACCCTCCCCTTATAGTTTTGTCAAAGTAATAGTTCAAATTCAGATCCGTTTTTAGTCCGTCTTATTCAGCTCCCACTATTTCACTTGAAGAATTAGATACCTCCTCAGATTCAGACAACATTTCTGAATCCGATTCGGAATCGGATTCTCCAAGAGAAATAATGAAAGGAGGAATATTTTTGAAAGGTAAGTCTCCCATGAATTTTGTCCAGTCTTCTGAAATAAGTCTGTCACAATGTCTACAAAAATTCGTCTACATGTCTGAGGTACATTTTGAAAGAGACTCACGCCATACCCTCGCAACCCTCCGTGGATGGTGGCTGCGAAGTTATAGTTTTATTATAGAAGTTCTTACAAAACCCCCATGCCATTTCAATAGGATTATATTGGCAATGATAAGGAGGTAATCTAAGAACTTCGTGTCCGTGGCTTTTCAAAATGTCGTCAATTTTGTATTGTTTTGGTCTATTCCGAAATGGTTGAGTAAGGTCCCATAATTGTTTTTTGGTCATTTTTGTGTCGAAGCCTACGTTATGTTTAACCAACCATTCCTGCATTTTGTCTTTCTTTGAAGAGAATGAAGGTGGTTTATCCTGCTCTAAATGATATGGAGCGTTGTCCATGATTATTACACATTTCTCTTCAAATAAATTCAATGCAGGAATTAGTTGATCAACGACCCATTTTTGGAAGATGTCCGCGTTCATGGTATTGTGGTAGTCTCTGTCATTGTTTCTTGAATCTAGAAAAAAATCGCACCCATCTAAAAACCCAGAATTACTCCCCGCATGCAAAATAGTAAAACGTTTCCCCTCTGACTTAGTTTTGGATGGGTTGCTTTTCATATCAGATTCGTGTATCCATCGACGAACTTGAGATCCGTTTTAGTAGATCCAAGTTTCATCTAAATACACGAATCTGATATTTTCGTTTGAATGTTTATATTGCAGGTATTTCCGCAAAAATGTAATTTTGGCAGCAAGAACATGTTTCTGCTCACATAAAATTTTGCGTCCATTTACTAATTTAAATTTATATCCCATAGATTTTAAAATTTTATATAAACTTGTTTGCCCTCCCTTAAATTCCAAATTTTGTCAGTAATGTTTGTAATGTAAAATATTCATTTTTAGAATTGTATTTCCAAATTTGTTGTTGTAAATCTTCTTTAAACATTCGGTCCATAATAGTCTCTGTCTTTTTCGGTCGGCCTAAAGGTTTTTTGTTTGTATATTGTCCAGTCAAAATTCTTTGAATAGTCCTGGTTCCCACCTAAAATTTAAGGAAAATGTTGGTTGGGTAAAAAATGGCTTCACATCTACATTTAAGTTATACCTACCTCAAATATATCTGCAAGTTGGGCTTCAATTGTTCCCTGGAGAGCCTCTGGTTTATTTTTTTTAAAATAACCATGACATTTTAATATTTCCTTTTTTTTTTCTTCTGAAATTATTTTCGGCATCTTCAATACGAAAGAAATTTGACAATGCCGAATTTTAAAAAATGTCATTAGATTTTGCAGGTACGCAAAATATTTGGGTACCGTTTATAATATAGCATTATTGAAAAATGCATTGAAAAATGTGTCAAATTTGATTTGCCAGATAGGCCAGAAAATTTTAATACCGCGGCACTTACGAAATTATGTAAACCACACTTAAAACTGTCTGGAATTTGACATATACTGTCATTATTATACGAGGGTCAACCTGCCAAATTTCCATGGCACGCCACTACGCCAATAATAAGTGAAAAAGGTATAAAACTATACATTTTCTAGTTTGAAATCGTTTCCACACCACCCACGAGGTAGAGCTCCCGGCGGTTTTTTTTTTAAGTAGTCCCCAGTAGGCTTAATCCACTAACAAGTCTTTTTTATTCATTTGT